ATAGGCGGCACCGATGGGCACTGATAGGAAGCACTGATGGGTACTGATGAGGTGGCACGGATAGGCAGCACAGATGGGCACTGATGAGGTGGCACGGATAGGCAGCACTGATGAGGAGGCACGGATAGGCAGCACTGATGGACACTGATGAGGTGGCACGGATAGGCAGCACAGATGGGCAATGATGAGGTGGCATGGATAGGCAGCACTGATGAGGGGGCACGGATAGGCAGCACTGATGCGTACTGATGAGGTGACATGGATGAGCACTGATGAGGTGGCACGGATAGGCAATACGGATGAGCACTGATGAGGTGGCACGGATAGGCAGCACTGATGATTCTGCACTGATAGGCAGCACTGATGGGCGACACTGACGGGCGGCGCTGACTGACAGCACTGGTGGGTAGCACTGCAGGACACTAATCAGGGCGATCTGCTCTGTGACAGCGTGAGGAAAGTGCTGCAGATAACCGGCAACTGTATTTACTGGGTGATTTGCTGTGTCATTGGATCACGCAGTAAAAGGCCGCTGTTATTGGCCTTTAACCTAATCATGTGATCAGCTGTGTCCGTAGGAGATCGCTGGGGGTGCTCGGGAAGGCGCTTTCTGGGGAGGACGTCAGACTGTGGCCAGTGGAAGGAGAAAATGCCCTGATACACTGCCCCATCATTGTTTTTAATGGGAGGAATAATATCCCATTGTATAGTGCCCCATATATGGTGTCAGTTGGTGGAATAGTGCTCCAAGGGTCAGATAATGGCAAAGCAAAGGGCCACATCTGACCCCCCGGGCCGCAGTTTGGAGACCACTGCTATAGATTATAGTGCCCCATATATGGTGTCGATAAGAGGAATAATGTTCCTTCATTGGTGTCAGTTGGTGGAATAGAGCTCCAAGGGCCAGATAAAGGCAAGCAAAGGGCCACATCTGGCCCCCAGGCCACAGTTTGGAGACCACTGCTATAGATTATAGTGCCCCATATATGGTGTCAGTAGGAGGAATGGTACCCCATCATTGGTGTCAGTTGGTGGAATAGCGCTCCAAGGGCCAGATAAAGGCAAGCAAAGGGCCACATCTGACCCCCAGGTCACAGTTTGGAGACCACTGCTATAGATTATAGTGCCCCATATATGGTGTCAGTAAGAGGAATGGTGCCCCATCATTGGTGTCAGTTGGTGGAATAGTGCCCCATCATTGGTGTCAGTTGGTGGAATAGTGCCCCATCATTGGTGTCAGTTGGTGGAATAGTGCTCCAAGGGCCAGATAAAGGCAAAGCAAAGGGCCACATCTGGCCCCCAGGCCGCAGTTTGGAGACCACTTCTATAGATTATCGATCAAAAGCATTGACCGGGAGCTGTCAGTGACACCGCAGTGGGGGAACCAAGTGAGCATTCTCTAAACATAAAATGGTGATGTCAGCTGTATGTGCCAAAGCCCACCATCATGCTCCCACGTGTACTGCTGGTGGTAAGTTGCACATTTTTTTTTTTTTTATTCACAATGTATCTATTTTGTGTGTAACATCTAGGAGGAAAACCTGAACATCGTCGTGATTGATGTTGAAGAGGAGGATGAAGAGGATGAAAGGCTTTGTAAGGAGGAGGAAATTCCTACAGAGATCATCACAGGTGAGGAAAAAAAGACTAAATCCGGAAAAACAGTCCCAGATTCTCCCTGTTCAGTCACTACAGATAAAACTTTATTTTGGTGGTATTTATTCACCACTGGGATTTTTTTTTTTTTTGCTATAGTTACATAGTTAGTCTGGCTGAAAAAAAAACAAAAGTCCATCCAGTTCAACCATAGAAAAAAAAAAAAAAAAAGTTATAATCCTACACCCACAGTTGATCCAGAGGAAGGCAAAAAACCCAGCAAAGCACGATCCAATTTGCTCCTGCAGGGAAAAAAAAATTCCTTCCTGATCCTCCGAGAGGCAATCAGATATTCCCTGGATCAACTTCACCTATAAATGTTATATCCAGTTATATTCAGTGTATTCAAGAAAGAATCCAGAACATTTTTTGAAGCTATATAAATGAAAAAGTCCATAAATTTTAAAAAAATGTGTTTTTCTTAAAACACATTAAATAAATAATCTTTCTTCATAAATCTTGGACAAAATGTATTCAGTTATCTGTTTAGTAAAAAAAAAAATAACCCAAATTAATTTATAACCAAAAATTATAACTTTATACATTTATTTTTACATTTTTATTTTTTTTATATTATAGTTTTTTTTTATTTATTCACCACTGATATTTTTATTTGTTTGCTATATAAATGAAAAAGTCCAAAAATTTTGAAAAAAAAGTGTTTTTCTTATAAAATTTGGCAACTAAATAATCTTTATTCAGAAATATTGGCCAAAATGTATTCAGTTATCTGTTTAGTAGTAAAAAAAAAATAACCTAAATAAATTTATAACCGAAAATTATAACTTTATACTTTTTTTTTACAGTTTTATTTTTTTTTTTATATTATTTGTTTTTTTTTTTTTTTTTTTCAACATACTGTCACCCTAGCAGTACATAGTGACATTGTACTACTTGTGGGAGGTTATGAAGATTTTTATTTTTTTTTTAACACTGATTGCTTTTACACCCTTAAAGGCTGTAAAAGCAATCATTTCACCTTCTCTCTGGCTGTTCCTGCAGCCATTGAGAAATACTGTGTGAGCTGTGATTGGTCACAGCTTGTCACATGGTACAAGGCTGTTGTGAATAGCCCTGTACCATGTGACCTCTGTGATTATTCAAAATATTTCACACGTAGTAAGCAATGATGTCAGGAAGTGACATCTTGCTTGCTACTATTCATGTGATTACTGATTGGCCAATCAGGGATCACATGATACGGGACCTCACACAGAGGTCCCGTACAGTGATCGGTGTTCTCCGGACACAGTGGGCACTGGACCGTGGTTCCGCGCACTCACAGGGAGCACGCACAGGCTGTAATTGCGGGCGCCATTTATAAATGGCAACCCGCTCCTGCACTGCTCCCATCCGGCCGTTTATATACAGTTGTGTTCAAAATAATAGCAGTGTGTTGAAAAAAGTGAATAAAGCTCAAATCCTTCTAATAGCTTTTATTTCCATACACACAAATGCATTGGGAACACTACACATTCTATTCCAAATCAAAACATGAGAAAAATAGATCAAATTTGTGTTGTTCCTCTAAAAAAAATTGAAGAAAAGTGAATATTAGACTGTTCAAAAAAATAGCAGTGTTTGTATTCTTCTTTACAAACTCAAACATTCATTATATAAACTGAAAAATGTTTGAAGATTTTGCTTTCCTTTGAATGACTTAATGAATATTTCGTTGTATAAGCACTGTTTCTGGAACTGCTGTACATCTGTGTTGCATGGAGTCAACCAACTTCTGGCACCCGTGAACAGGTATTCCAGCCCAGGATGATTGGACTACATTCCACAGTTCTTCTCTATTTCTTGGTTTTGCCTCAGAAACTGCATTTTTGATGTCACCCCACAAGGTTTCTATTGGATTAAGATCCGGGGATTGGGCTGGCCACTCCATAACGTCAATGTTGTTGGTCTGGAACCAAGATGTTGCACGTTTACTGGTGTGTTTGGGGTCGTTGTTTTGTTGGAACAGCCATTTCAAGGGCATTTCCTCTTCAGCATAAGGCAGTATGACCTCTTCAAGTATTCTGATGTATTCAAACTGATCCATGATCCCTGGTATGCGATAAATAGGCCCAACACCATAGTATGAGAAACATCTCCATATCATGATGCTTGCGCAACCATACTTCACTGTCTTCACAGTGTACTGTGGCTTGAATTCAGTGTTTGGGGGTCGTCTGACAAACTGTCTCCGGCCACTAGACCCAAAAAGAACAATCTTACTTTTAGCTGAGCAGCCTATCATTTTCTGCACTTCTTTATATGTTTTCCCCTCTCCAATCAACTTTTTAATCAAGGTATGCTGTTCTTCTGAACAATGTCTGGAACGACCCATTTTCCTCAGAATTTCAGAGAGAAATGCACTGTAACCAGCATGTACAACATTTGCTGCCTTCCTTCCTTAAATAGGGGCAATAATTGCCACCTGTTTTTCATAGAATGAATGACCTCACTAATAGAACTCCACACTGCTATTATTTTGAACATGCCCCTTTCAATGAGCGATTCAATGACACAGAATCAGCAGCATGCATGTCATGACTGTTGGGTCTGTTGGATTTCTATTACTCTACTACACCTGTTAGTAAATTATTTGCCATGTAGAAATATCATTTCTACCAAAAACAGTGATTGATCAGGTTAGTGATGTCTGACTGCTATTATTTTGAACACAACTGTACATGGGCCGGACAGGAAGTGGTTAAATGTGTGAGAGAAATGTCAGAAGTGGTTAATCTACAGATTTCAAGCAGGATGGGGTAGGTCGAGGTCTCCGCTTGTGTGAACGTCTGCAGGATGTCTGAAAGAGATCAGAAAATCAAATTTTGTTGCCTGGTGTATTGCATTGTACTGACTTGTCCTAAGTGAGGAACAACCAGAGAATGAACAGGCAGCATGTAACCTGAGACAAAAGCATCCCCTTTCAAAACAGCAATGGACAATTTTTACAAAATCTACAGTTTTCTCTTTCATTTTTTTCCTGCACAGATTTTGGAAACGGGGCTCATCTTTCGGACTTCTACCGCCGTCCGCCCTTCCCATCCAATTACCAGCTGAAACACAGCGAATTTTACCAAAGCATCCATGCTCCCAGCAACGTCAACTCCAGCATCCAACTGTACACCCCCAACCTCAGCCTCAACCCGTACGGAAAATACCTACGAGACGTGGACCCCGGGGCCAACGTGCCGGCGAGAGCCGCCATCAAGCAACATGTGTGCAACGAGTGTGGGAAGTGTTTTGCACACAACAGCGACCTCCTGATCCACAAGCGCCTGCACCGCGGCAAGGTGCCGTTTGTCTGCTCCGTCTGCGGCAAGTGCTTCAGCAGTAACTCCTACCTCATGGTGCACCTGAGGCTCCACGCCGGCGAGAAGCCCTTTGGCTGCACGGAGTGCGGCAAAAGTTTCAAGAGCAACTCCCACCTGGTGACGCACCTGCGCATCCACCGCGGCGAGAAGCCCTTCGTCTGCGCCGAGTGCGGCAAGAGCTTCAACGACAAGTCAAACTTTGGCCGCCACAAGCGCATACACACCGGCGAGAAGCCGTACACCTGCGACCAGTGCGGCCGGGGCTTCAACCGCAAAGCCAACCTCTTAATCCACGAGCGCACGCACACGGGCGAGAAGCCGTACTGCTGCGCAGAGTGTGGCAAGCGCTACACCAGCAAGGCCGAGCTGGTGCGCCACCGGCTCTTCCATTCTGGCGGCAAGCAGTTCTCCTGCCCGGAGTGCCCGGAAAAGTTTGTGGACAAGTCAAGCCTGCTCCTTCACCAAATGGCGCACCGGGGGGAGAGGCCTTACGCCTGTCACGAATGCGGCAAGTGCTTCGCCAACAACTCGCAGCTGGTGACGCACGAGCGCATCCACAAGGGAGAAAAACCCTTTGAGTGTCAGGAGTGCGGGAGGAGCTTCAACGACAAGTCGAACTTTATCCGCCACAAGCGGATCCACACGGGGGGGAGAAGCCATACGCCTGCTTCCAGTGTGGCAAAGTGTTCAACCGCAAGGCCAACCTCCTCCTGCACCACCGGACGCACACGGGAGAGAAGCCATTTAGTTGCATGCAGTGTGGGAAGTGCTTTAGCAGTAACTCCGGCCTAGTCGTCCATCAGAGACTTCACACGGGTTAGTTAGGCCGTGAACAATTTTAGCTCATGACCACATCCTTGCAATGCCAGGAGCAAACAAGGAGCCGTGACAGGAAATTGTTGTTTTTTTTTTACAAGCTTTTATATATTGAAATGTACCAATGTGCACTGTAAAAGAAACAAACACAGAATGAACGGGCTGCATGCCACCTTAGACAAGGGTGTCCCCAACTTTTCATACAAGCAGCTGTAGTAGTATGCAGAAGCCTTTGGAAGGGACATATTTGTATACAGGGTTTCATGCACTGCATGTTTTCCACAGTAGGAGAATCAAAAGCAGAATGATTATTAAGCACTTAGGCCGATAGTAGAGCATTCCCCTTTATCCCACACGTGATTGGCTATAGAAGGTATATCTTTCATTAACCTGCCAGGAGAGGATTAGGAGCCTTGGCAAGCTCACAATTTTTTTTTTCTGGCTCTTCTATACTATAACATACTGAACTGCAATGCTGCAGAGCCAAACACAGAATGAACAGGCAGCAGATCCTTACCTGACACCACTACAATGGCTGTAGGGAATTCACAGGATCTTTGAAGGGTTCAGAATTTCATTTAAGGCTTATACAACACATTTTACTGATATGCACTGCACAAAAACAAACACAAACAGGGTGCGACTTAGTAGAGCTTGTTGCCGATCCTCCTATTACACGGGAAGAATCGCATAAAATACCTTTTGGGGTTTGGCACTGTACAAGTGCCAGAAAGAAAATAAATAGCAGCAGCTCATAACCAGGCACACACATTACTTGTAGGAAGAATACTGGAGTGTCTGGAGAATAAACAGGCAGTATGTATCTCCAAGAGAGCCAGACACAGAACGAAATAGCAGTGTGAACAAGCAGTATGTACTGATCTCCAAGAGGGCCAGACACAGAATGAACAAGCAGTATGTACTGATCTCCAAAAGAGCCAGACACAGAATGAACAAGCAGTATGTACTGATCTCCAAGAGGGCCAGACACATAATGAATAGGCACTATGTGCCAATCTCTGAGACTGACACAGAATGAACAGGTGGTATGTACTGATCTCCAAGAGAGCCAGACACACAATGTATAGGCAGTATGTGCCTATCTCCAAGAGAGCCAGACACAGAATGAACAGGTAGTACGTACTGATCTCCAAGAGAACCAGACACAGAATGAACAGGTAATACGTACTGATCTCCAAGAGAGCCAGACACAGAATGAACAGGTAGTACGTACTAATCTCCAAGAGAGCCAGACACAGAATGAACAGGTAGTACGTACTGATCTCCAAGAGAGCCAGACTCACAATGTATAGGCAGTATGTGCCGATCTCCGAGAGAGCCAGACACAGAATGAACAGGTAGTACTTACTGATCTCCAAGAGAGCCAGTCTCACAATGTATAGGCAGTATGTGCCGATCTCCAAGAGAGCCAGACACAGAATGAACAGGTAGTATGTACTGATCTCCAAGAGAGCCAGACACATAATGAATAGGCAGTATGTGCCGATCTCTGAGACAGACACAGAATGAACAGGTGGTACGTACTGATCTTCAAGAGAGCCACACACACAATGAACAGGCAGTATGTGCCTATCTACGAGAGAGCCAGATACAGAATGAAGAGGTAGTATGCACTGATCTCCAAGAAAGCCAGACACAGAATGAACAAGCAGCAAGTATCTGTCTCCAAGAAAGCCTGACACAGAATGAACAAGCAGCATGTATTTACAAGAGAGTCATGTACAGAATGAACAGGTAGCATGTACCTTACCTAGAGTCACCTGAGACTAGGGAATTTCCTTTCCTCACACCTGACGGTAAAGCATCCCCCTCCTATTCCTCACACCTGAATCTAGGGAATTCCCCTTCCACTTCTTACTTGATCCTCAGGAATCCCCCTCCTACTCCTGAGGCTATAGAATCCCCCTCCTTCATTCATCTAAGGCTTAGGGAACCTCCCTTGTTCTCTACACTCCTGAGGCTTAGAAATTCCCCTTCTCCTCACATGTGAGTCCAGTAATCTCACCTTCAGGTGTGAGAAAAAATGAAAATCCCCGAGCCTGCGGTATGAGGAAAAGGGGGGGAATTACCTAGCTTCAGGAATAAGATGGGAGGGGGTTCCCTACACTCAGGTTTGAGGGGAAGAAAGGGGTATTTCCTAGCCACAGGTGAGTAGAAGGAGGGGATTCCCTAGCCTCAGGTGAGGAGAGGAAGGAGAATCCCTAGCTACAGGTGATAGGAGGAGAATTCCCTAGGCACATGTGAGGGGAAGGAGGAGAATTCTCTATCCTCAAGTGTGAGTAGAAGGGTGAGAATTCCTTAGTCTCAGGCGTGTGAAGGGGGGGAATTCCCTAGCCACAGGTGTGAGGAGAAGGAGGGGAATTCCCTAGCCTCAGGTGTGACAATAAGGGGATTTCCCTAGCCTCGGGTGTTTGGAAAAGGAGGGGAATGCCTTAGCCATAGGTGTGAGAAGGTGGGAATTCCCTAGCATCAGGTGTTGTGAGAGGGAGGGGAATTCCTTAGCCTCAGGTGTGAGTAGAAGGAGAGGAATTCCCTACCAATAGGTGTGAAAAGAAGGAGGGAATTCACTAGCCTCAGGTATTAGAAGGAGGGGAATTCCCTAGCCTCCGGTATTAGGAGGGGAATTCCCTATCCTCAGGTGTGAGGAGGAGGAGGGGAATTCCCTAGCCTCAGGTGTGAGGAAAAGGAGGGGCATTCCCTAGCCTCAGGTGTTGGCAGAGGAAGGGGAATTCCCTAGTCACAGGTGTGAGGAAAAAGAGGGGAATTCCCTATCCTCAGGTGTGAGGAGAAGGAGGGGAATTCCCTAGCCTCAGGTGTGAGGAGAAGGAGGGAATTCCCTATCCTCAGGTGTTGTGAGAGGGAGGGAAATTCCTTAGCCTCAGGTGTGAGGAGGGGATCTCCCTAGCCACAGGTGTGACAGGAAGGAATGGAATTCCCTAGCCTCAGGTGTGAGGAGAAGGAGGGGAATTCCAGAGCCACAGGTATGAGGAGAAGGAAGGGAATTCCCTAGCCTCAGGTGTGAGTCGAAGAAGGGGAGTTCCTTATCCACAGGTGTGAGAAGAAGGAAGGGAATTCCCTAGCCTCAGGTGTAAGAAGTAGGAAAATTCCCTAGCCACATGTGTGAGAAGAAGGAAGGGAATTCCCTAGCCTTAGGTGTGAGAAGACGGAAGGGAATTCCCTCGGCTCAGGTGTTGAGAGGAGGGGAATTCCCTAGCCACAGGTGTGCAGAGGAGGGGAATTCCCTATCCCCAGGTGTAAGGAGAAGGAGGGGAATTCCCTAGCCTCAGGTGTCAGGAGCAGGCGGGGAATTCCCTATCCACAAGTGTGAGAAGGAGAGGCGCTCCGCAGCCTCAGGTGTTGGGAGAAGGAGGGGAGTTCTCTACACACAGGTGTGAGAAGGAGGGGACTTCTCTAGCCACAGGTGTTAGGAGGAAGGGAATTCCTTAGTCACAGGTGTGAGGAGAAGGAGGGGAATTACAGTCAGGTCCATAAATATTGGGACATCGACACAATTCTAACATTTTTGGCTCTATACACCGACCACAATGGATTTGAAATGAAACAAACAAGATGTGCTTTAACTGAAGACTGTCAACTTTAATTTGAGGGTATTTACATCCAAATCAGGTGAACAGTGTAGGAATTACAACAGTTTGCATATGTGCCTCCCACTTGTTAAGGGACCAAAAGTAATGGGACAGAATAATAATCATAAATCAAACTTTCACTTTTTAATACTTTGTTGCAAATCCTTTGCAGTCAATTACAGCCTGAAGTCTGGAACGCATAGACATCACCAGACGCTGGGTTTCATCCCTGGTGATGCTCTGCCAGGCCTCTACTGCAACTGTCTTCAGTTCCTGCTTGTTCTTGGGGCATTTTCCCTTCAGTTTTGTCTTCAGCAAGTGAAATGCATGCTCAATCGGATTCAGGTCAGGTGATTGACTTGGCCATTGCATAACATTCCACTTCTTTCCCTTAAAAAACTCTTTGTTGCTTTTGCAGTATGCTTTGGGTCATTGTCCATCTACACTGTGAAGCGGCGTCCAATGAGTTGTGAAGCATTTGGCTGAATATGAGCAGATATTGCCCGAAACACTTCAGAATTCATCCTGCTGATTTTGTCAGCAGTCACATCATCAATAAATACAAGAGAAGCAGTTCCATTGGCAGCCATACATGCCCACGCCATGACACTACCACCACCATGCTTCACTGATGAGGTGGTATGCTTAGGATCATGAGCAGTTCCTTTCCTTCTCCATACTCTTCTCTTCCCATCACTCTGGTACAAGTTGATCTTGGTCTCATCTGTCCATAGGATGTTGTTCCAGAACTGTGAAGGCTTTTTTAGATGTCGTTTGGCAAACTCTAATCTGGCCTTCCTGTTTTTGAGGCTCACCAATGGTTTGCATCTTGTGGTGAACCCTCTGTATTCACTCTAGTGAAGTCTTCTCTTGATTGTTGACTTTGACACACATACACCTACCTCCTGGAGAGTGTTCTTGATCTGGCCAACTGTTGTGAAGGGTGTTTTCTTCACCAGGGAAAGAATTCTTCGGTCATCCACCACAGTTGTTTTCCGTGGTCTTCCGGGTCTTTTGGTGTTGCTGAGCTCACCGGTGCGTTCCTTCTTTTTAAGAATGTTCCAAACAGTTGTTTTGGCCACGCCTAATGTTTTTGCTATCTCTCTGATGGGTTTGTTTTGTTTTTTCAGACTAATGATGGCTTGCTTCTCTGATAGTGACAGCTCTTTGGATCTCATCTTGAGAGTTGACAGCAACAGATTCCAAATGCAAATAGCACACTTGAAATGAACTCTGGACCTTTTATCTGCTCATTGTAATTGGGATAATGAGGGAATGACACACACCTGGCCATGGAACAGCTGAGAAACCAATTGTCCCATTACTTTTGGTCCCTTAACAAGTGGGAGGCACATATGCAAACTGTTGTAATTCCTACACTGTTCACCTGATTTGGA